CTCTCTCTCATTCTATCAAATAAATAAATAAAATCTTTAAAAAAAAAAAAAAAAAAAGAACTGCTTTTTCATAAGCCCTGTCTCTCCCAATATACTTGATAAAGTTATAAATGACAACTGTAAGCCTTTTTTTAAAGAAACTACACAACAAAGGCCATAGCATTTTCATTTTCCATTCTGCCTTAAATTTGTATTCATACTTGCTATATAGTCAATGCCATAATTGCTATAAGAGCTTGGCTTCATGTATTGCACATACTACTTGCTGTCAAAGTGCCCAACTGGATGGTAGACATTTATTTAGTAATGCTGAAACTGTAGTGACAACAATGTCTGGTGAACTGGAAAAGACAAGAAACAGACACTTTCTCAATCCCCACCCATTATTTTTGGTCCAAAGGATATTTATTAACCATTTGGCCACATCTAGAGAAATACAGCATTTCCAGAATGCTGGGCAGCTACCCAGGCATGTGGAGATGTGGCTTAAATCTATAAAATCAAGTAAAGCTGCAACACAGTAAATATAGCTGAGTCTACCAAATCTTTAATAAATATCATGAAGGGACCTTCTGACATATGACTGAACCAATTTGGTGAAGTTTATCTACAAAACAGGAAATACCTTTAAAGGACCTTTTACTCCCAAGAGTTGGGACTGACAAAAATCACAAAAAATAAATTCCCCCCAAATCTGGGCATATGTACTAAAAAGGGCACCATGAATTTGCTACTAAGAGAAGCTGAGCTAGGTTTAACCTTTATATTCAATGTCAAAGAAACTAGACTCTGCAATGACTCTCCTTTATGGTTAGTGGACTCCTAAATCAATTGGGCCACGATCAGAATGAAAATGGCAGTATCTCATATGCCTAGGAGATTGAGTTAAACTAGAGTTCTAATGTGGCAAAACTCTAGGAAGTCTCTACTAATGGTACCTCTCTCCTGTTAGTTACTCATGCTCCAAACCTCAGCTATCATTTTCTCTGTCTCATAACTAATCAACTGCCAAATCCTATCTATTGTATTAAAGTGATACATGTCCCCCACTGACAGTTCCAATCCATTCCTACCGGGACTACAGCAATACCTTCAATCTAACTGATCTCTCTATTTTAGGACTATCTCCTCTGTAATCTATGTTACATGTTGATGGCTCTGTAATTTTCCCTGAAGTGTAGCTCAAACACTTTTGGAAGCTCCCCATTATATACCAGATTAATTCCAAAATAAAACCTGATGCTGAAAACCTTCTACAACCTGGGTCCAAGTTAACTTTCCAATCTCTTCTCTCTATGCAACCTTTACAAGCGATATTCTAGACACATCAATCTACTACCTATTCCCATGTTCTCTGCCTAGTATGCCCTTCCCCCTTATAACTACCTGTATCTCAAGTCCTTCCCATCCTTTAAGTACTAATCAGGTCAAAATACATTTCTTCCATATAGTCATCCCAAATTTATCCCATTAAAATTAAACATTCTTTTCCTTATGCTTTCATAACATTTTATTAGATCTATTGTAACACTTAGCCAAGACTGATATATATATTATTTTACATACATTTGCCTAATGATTAGTCTGATTTCTTTGTGTATTACACTATTTCTATCATAGGGTCTGGTCAAAAGCAAATCCCCACTTAATACAGCTTAAACTAAATACCTAACTGAATATTATGAAGGCACCTCTGTCCTACACAACCTGGGAAGAATATGATCAAATTATTAGCTTTAGACTCATTTCTGACTAGCTAAACTAACTGGGGATTGGTAAAAGTCAAAGCTACACCAATGTCTCACCGACTAATAAATGGCTGGATGCTCCGGCCCTTCAGGGGCTCCATGCTCATTGGCATGGGCTCTGGGGTGGACAGCCAGTAAGAATAGTCATTTCTTGAAGCAAAGTTGCAAACATTATTGATGTTGCAGAACATGAAAGGCATGGTACTGAAGCGACGAAGGCAGCTGCCAGCCGTCCCTAGGGAGAATTGGGGAGAAAAGGATGAAGGACTATACTATGAGATACTTTAGTTTCTTTTGAAACCCTAACAAACAACCTTTCAAGGAGAAATATGCCCACATTTCTTAGATAATAAATATACTTTGTTTTAGATCTTCAATTATAAGATGCACGTTTACTTACATTTTTAACATTTCTAAAATCAGGATATATCTTATAATTTATGTAGACATTTATTGTTGCAGTTCATTATATATTCTCCAACAGTGTTTTTACACTGGTGATGTACTTATAAACATAATAAAATATTATGGAGAATATTGAGCAATTGATTGTGAACAAGTGAAGGACACACACTGAGTTTCTATAATATCTGGTTAGTACTTCCTCTCCAGCCTACCATCTCTTCTTCCAAGACATCCTCAGTATGTATCTTGTTTGTTTTTGCAATCTCTTTGAGCCTAGGGACAATGGTAGTGCTGACCAATATGCACAGCAACCATGAACAGGTTTGGAGGTGAATAATAAAAAGGAAAAAAAATAAGAGAGAAAGGAAGGATGCAAGGGGAATAAAATTCAGGACTGGTAAGGGCAATAGAGGTTATCTATCTATCTATCTATCTATCTATCTATCTATCTATCTATCTATCTATCATCTATCTATATCTCTATATATAACTCTAAGTTATCTTTTATTCTTATTTATTCACCAAAGAATGATGAAAAATGGTGTACCCCCCCACATTTTTAAGTTTAGATATAAAACTTTTCATCAGAATTTCAAATTGATACTATACCAGGTATTAAGGTATTGGTTATTGTCTCCTGGCTCCAAAGCTACCTTTCTATACTCCACTTTGTGATACTGGAGCCTGGGACTTTTGCAAACCACATTTCAAATGTTACCAGCTGTCATTTCTAAAACAAACTTTTTCTCTCTTTTAAATATATCCAACATAATGGGGCGCCTGGGTGGCTCAGTTGGTTGGGCAACTGCCTTCGGCTCAGGTCATGATCCTGGAGTCCCAGGATCGAGTCCCGCATCAGGCTCCCTGCTCAGCGGAGAGTCTGCTTCTCCCTCTGACCCTCCCCCCTCTCATGCTCGCTCTCTCTCATTCTATCAAATAAATAAATAAAATCTTTAAAAATATATATATATATCCAACATAATGATTTGAAACTTAACAATAAACATTTTTTTAAAGTACATAAACTCATCTTTAACAAGTGGAAGTCATTCAATGCTCCTTTTGCATTCGGAAATTATATGTCCATTCCACTTTTCTCACAGTTTTATCCTAATGTGTTTTTTATTTTTAGTTTTTTATTGATTATCCTATCATATTTCTCTGAAACAAAAATGTATAATAACTTTAAAAAACTTGTTATGATCCTAAGGTTTATATGTTAAATATTTTTTGAATTGTCATCATTATATTGGGAATTTATAAAAATACAGATACTATAAATTTTGATAATTTCTAAACACAAAAAGTAAACTTTTGTTGGAAATGCATTTCCTAATGAGATGGATTGAATTATAGAGCCTCAATTAATGGAGACTTTAACAAAACCATTATTTTGAGTTGTCCCTTTGAATTTGTCCCCCAGAGGTTTTCACAATTCAAGGCAATATGCCATACTATGAGTCTTTCATAAAGTGGGAGATGGGTGATAGTGAAAGGGGATGTGGGAAACAGGATTATCCAAAGCATATACACAGGCCATTCAAATTCAGGAAAAAGTACATATGAAAGTTGAGGATTTGAAACTTGATTCCTTTAAAATTATGCCTGTGTAGTTCTTGGAAATTCCTCATGTATCCAAAGGAATATGCTTATCTCAGACTGAAGATGACTGATAAAAGACCAATACTTCTTAAACCTAGTGGATTGTCATAATCATTGGGAATTTTTACATAAGGGGTTTGGGATGGGTCTAGGAATCTTTTCAGAAGTTCCCCAGGTTGAAAATCATTGATTTAGCCTAAATAATTCTTTTTTCAGAGGAAAAAAACTGGCTCAGAGAAAGGTGACTAACTCAAGATCACGTATGAGTGAATGACAAATTGGCATAATTGAAAACGAATGGATTTAGCACTGGTAGGTGTTGGGATTCAATTCTTATCTCCATCATTGCGTGCAGAGGTTTGAATTAGTCACTTAACCTCTTAGCCAGTTTTTTTGTGTATAAAATATAAGAAAATAATACTTGTCCTGTATCTTTCTTGATCATAGTTGTGAAAATCAAATTGGAGAATGAAAATCAAAGTTCTTTTTATTTATAAAGTAATTTAATAATAAAATATTACTGCCTAATTGGGGACAGGGTTGGCAATATCCCTGGTCTGAGAAAGAAAAGGAAAAGGTACATAAAAGGAAGGCCCATATGAAGAGAACAGGGGTGTTTGGTTGCATCTATGCTTTAGGCTGCACACAATGATGCAGAATTCTGTATTGTCTCCAAATTTTCAGAGAAAATTTTGAGGAAAAATCTCATGAATTCTCAATGCCTCCCATTTTCTAAGACTATAAGGCTTTAATAGACTAATTATTCTTAGTATTTTTTTTTGCTCCTATACAGAACAGTTTTAGTATTCCATCTGTTACCTCCACCCTCTTTTTTTACACACCATAATCCTTTCACTAATCCACCATAGACTGTATTTATTTGATCAGGTGATTGTTTCTTATAGCTGTCTCTATTCTTTGCTTAGCCATCAAGCTCTCTGCAGTTTGATCCCTGTGTGAGCCATAAAAGAAACTCTGCAATCTGGGATCACTCTTGGGATCTTGGGCCCTGTATCATGGCCTTCCCATGTCTGAGGCCTATACTGTACCTGAGTCAGGGCCAGTTTGTAGCCTCCATGGTTGAATGCATAGTATGACAGCCCTTGTTTGACCAAGTACATGCATTTTGGAAAGTTAGAGTGACATACTGGATTGCAGATCCCATTTTTTATTTGAATTACATTTTTGAATTTCACGGTGCTCAAAAACTTCTAATGGTTCCCTGACTATCAAGTCAGGGATTTGAAGTTTATAAGCTCGATTATAGGTGTAAGTTAAGACTCTGATAGTGAAGAGAGAATGGCCTAAAAGGAGAAGAATTTTATGGGAGGAAGACTAGAGAGATTTATGTAAAAGATAAGAATATTTTCACCATGAAGATTTGTCAATTATAAAATCAGAAAGAGAAGCTGCTACCTAAAGAAAGTAAATGCGGGAAGGAAAAATAGCAGAGGAAAGATGAAAAGGAGACGAAGAAAAGTAAAAGTGGGAGAAGAAAGTTGGCAGGCAAACTCCTCCTATATTTGGCTTCATTAAATGACCTGTGACTCTTGGCTTCCATGTCAGTGGAGATGCCGACTCCGGTGGGCCATATGCCCTGGGAATAGAGTGAGTAGAGAAGACCTCTGGAGGTCTCTGTTGCTGCAGAACTGTTTTCACAAAATAGCCTAGCTAAAGAGACCTCAGGAGGTCTCTTACTACAGACACTCCAGAAACTGGGAGCCCAGACTATCTTCTTAAATGTCTTTATGGAGACGAAGAAGGGGATAATGATCCTTAAAATTGGCAGCCGCAGGTCACACAATGGGGCTTTGAAATCCAAAGTCAAAATTCCACAAAAAGAAATGTTAAGGATTAGAAGATGTCTTGAGAATCACATCCGGTCCATCTCATCCCATCAACCAATCTGCCCACCACAGTATAGAGAAGATGCACGGGAACACATTAAATGAAGTGTATTTTATATAGAAATATGGTGCTTTGCATAGTTTTAATCTACTCTGATAATACTTTACAAAGCTAAGACACTTATTTTAGGAACTATAAACTAGCATAATTAAGAAATGACCTTAATTTCTTTGATTTAGAAATCAAGATTCTCTTCAGAACTTACCTTTCAACTTGATGAAGACCAGTGTCAGAGAAGAAAAAACTATCTTCTATGAATCAGCATTGCCCACTCAAGCGACTGCTATACCATAGAGAGCCCAGGGAATCTGTTTTCTTAATAGCTAACAAAGTGTACATGTGGCCTTTCCCAAAATGTGCTGCTTTAGGCCAAGAATTGTACCTCACACTAGCTAGCTAAAGCTTTTAGGGTAACGTATTATTTATTTAAAACTTACAGTGAATATATTTAGCTGCCCTTGACATGGTCTTCAATTTGGAAGCCCCCCCACCCCAAATAGAGATATATACTTTGTCCAAGGTTACTCCAGAAGCCAACAAGGTTTTCAAAACAAAACACATAGTAAAAACTAAGATGCCAGTTATCTTACCCAAGTCTTGACCATGAGCTCTTTTATTTCCTTGAACATACAGGAGAGAAAAGCCTTCATAAATCTGGACAGTTCCATGTGGGCATTGTGGTGCATCTGTTGTCTGGCTGTGACGTGTGATGAGGAATCCATGGGCGATAGAGGAAGTTCCTGGAGGACCTGGGGGACCTTGCATTCCATCTGGTCCAGGGGGACCATCCAAACCACGAGTACCTATTTCCATGGAATCGTCAGTATACAAAATTTAAGTGAGCTCTGATCCTACTATTATGGCTACTGACAAAACATTATGATCTCATTTGACTCGTTAATTTAGTCAATATTTATAGAGTGCCTATTAAGGTATTGTCAGATATCACGGATTTGGAGATAAATAAAATATGGTCCCTGCCCTCAAAGAGATTTAAACATATATTTTGTCTAATGGAATTGGTTGACAACATTAGGCACTAAATGAGTACTGGGCAATGGAACACTAGATAGGAAGAAGTGATGCTTATTTGGGAAGTCTGTGTGTTATCTAGTCTCTTGCTCTATTAAAGGAGTCCAAACCCCATGACGAAATTTCAGTCTGCTGTTTTGTTCATCAACGAGAAAGGAAGGGTGTGGTTGCCATCAGTCTGCCAGTTTCAGTGCTGAAAAACATTTTCCTTTGAATCTGTCTGGGGAATTATTCTCAGGCATACCTTTTTGTTTAGAGAATAGGCAGGGTACTACTAAAGCAGCCTTTTCAAAATGTCTATTTTCAATTTACCAACGGTTCCCTTTCTCTGTTTAGTCTCTTGATTTGAGCCTATTTTACAATTCTCTTTATATACAGGCCTTCTGCCACTGTGTATATGCATTTTCATTTTGGGGAAACTTCACAGCAATGCCCATATGTGATGAAGATGACACTAACTTGTTCCTTCCCTGATATACAGTTAATGAAATGGCAGGGTATTGGTTCCAGGAAGGCCATAGGTATTACCAGTCTGCCTTGCTGCCACTGATATTTATTTGCCAATAAATATTCTTTATGTTTATATTATTTAGAGTTATATTTATATTGTCTAGAGTTGCTAATATATATTAAAAATCTACTGAGTTTATGATCTTTTATTTCTATTTTAGCAATCTTACTTCAGTGTGTTTTTTAATTTTAATATTTTTTATTGAAGTATAGTTAATAAACAGTATCATATTCATTTCAGGTATACAATATAGTGATTCAACAATCCTATACATTACTCAGTGCTCATCATGATAAGTGAGCACTCTTAATCCCCTCTATCTATTTCACTCACCCCCGACACACCTCCCCCCTCTGGCACCCACCAGCTTGTTCTCTGTATTTAAGAGTCTGGTTTTTTATTAGTCTCTTTTTTCCTTTGTTTGTTCCTTTGTTTCTTACATTCCACATATGAGTGAACTCATATGGTATTTATCTCTCTCTGACTTATTTCACTTAGCATTATACCTTCTAGGTCCATCCATGTTGTTGTAAATGACAAGATCTCATTCTTTTTTATGGCTAAATAATAGCTATATATATATCCCTCTTCTTTATCCACTCATCTATTGATGAACACTTGTACTGCTTCCATATCTTGGTTATTGTAAATGATGCTACAATAAACAAAGGGGTGGGTATATCTTTTCAAATTAGTGTTTTGTTTTTTTTGGGTAAATACCCAGTAGTGAAATTACTGGATCATGTGGTAATTCTATATTTTTAATTTTTTGAGGAACCTCTATACTGTTTTCCACAGTGGATGTACCAGTTTGCATTCTCATCAATAGTGCATGAGGGTTCCTTTTTCTCCACGTCCTTGCCAACACTTGTTATTTCTTGTCTTTTTGATTCTAGCCATTCTGATGTGTATAAGGGGATATCCCACTGTTGTTTTGATTTGTATTTCCCTGATGATTAGTGATGCTGGGCATCTTTTCATGTGTCTGTTGCCATCTATATGTCTTCTTTGGAAAATGTCTATTAAGCTCCTCTATTTGTATTTTTTATTGCAAGGTGACTCAAATTCTTTTTGGAAGTAGCTTGAGAACATACTGGAAATCTAGTAGATACCAGATTCAATATTATCAGGAGCACCCGTTAATGAAAGAACTAAAAACATGAAAATCAATTTGTCATCTCAGTATAAGATGCCACTCTGACTCTCAAAGCTCTATGGGGAGCACTTTAAACTTTACAAACCTTACAACTGTATTACTGAATTTTATGGGGGAAATTACACTCTGTTGTCATATTTTCAAATGTGGAAAGATTCACAATAGTTTCAAGATGGTCATGGGATTTAAATCAACATACTGAAAATTATCAGAACAGGTAAGTACAGTGAATACCTGGAAAAACCTCATCTTGAGGAAAAACTGTTTTCCAGTACTCTAAACACATAAATAAAAACAAGCTTTCTATGTTTTTCTGTATACTGGCAAATCTCCTTGTATGTGCTGTCCTATTTTCCCCCAACAACAGATTCACCAGCTAGCTATACTCTCCTAAGAAGAAAACTCTCACAGCTCCAACTGGACGTCTAGAGGTCTTTCAGACTTGAGACTACTATCAACAGCAGTGTTTTATTTGTCTCACCTGGCTGGCCTGGCAGACCTGGGTCTCCTTTGCGCCCTCCTGCACCATCAAAGCCAGGGAGTCCATTGCGTCCCGGATCTCCTGGAGGGCCAATTGGACCTACAGGGAAAAAATAGGGTCTTCAAATATGGGTATAATAATTCCATAACCAGACAGATCTAGGAAACTTAAGGTTCTTGAGTGTCACTAAATTCATAGTCTGGTCTTGTCTTTAATCCAGATACACAAAGGAATAGCTCAAGCCCGGGACAAAGAAGCAGACAAGGATTTAGCTTTAGTTTTAAACAATAGATTTGTGTCTGTGAAGATTCCCATAATATGGCACTTGTGTTCTCTTTGCCTCAGAACAAAATAGGAGTGCAAGGCCCAACTTTTGTTATCTGTCTCACCATAGGTAAGGTTGTTACTGCCTGGTACACTTAGTTTATGGAAAGACTAACAACCAATCACTTAATAAGCGAGAAAGACTGAACTTATTTCTAGCTTTCTTGTATAATAAAAATTGGCTGCAAGCATAGAGTCAAATGGCCAACTAGACAGGAGTTAGTTTAAAAATCACGAGGCCTCACAGTGGGGAGCTGATGGCTGATCAAATTAGCTTTCTATCCTTCTGGTGGTTGGGATAGAGAAAGCATCAGATCTTAAATGCATATTAATTTCATTACAAAGTTTTTAATAACATTAACCTAATCATTCAAATTAAAATAGCCAGAGGAACTGGCTAGAAGAGATTAGACTGGGCCTAAAGGAAATTAAGGCATGAGAAATTAACATTTTTAAGAAAAAAGGAAATGGGATCTGTGGTGGTCTGGTATTCTACTAGTTGTTGAGACTCCTCTTCTCAGAGACAAACTATGACAAGTAAAATGAGAACTAGGGAAATGTTCTCGAATAGATAAGGCTTAGAATGAAGATCTGCAAAGGCACCTGGTAAGCCTTGAGGTCCTGGTAGTCCTGGCAGACCTTTTAATCCAGGCTGGCCTGGGATCCCTGGTGGACCAACATCTCCTTTGATTATAATACTCTGTCCTGAAGGACCAGGTAATCCAGGGGGACCTAAGAGGCAAAACACACAAATTGGAAGGTAGGAAAGAGAGAAGCCAGAAGGAATGGATGCCAAAGTGTCCTAAGGTTAGAATAAAAATTGGTGCGAAAGAAACAAGTTACATGTGTTGAAATGTTGACATGTCCAACAGAAATCTGTTTGGGAAAGCCATCATCTCACCCAGAAGACTGAAAAAATGAATAATTTCTTTAGGGTCAATGGAAAAATTAGGCCTATTGTCCCTATTTTCAAGCCTTGAAGCATGACTTGGTTACTAGAAAGTCTAATCCATTACAAATCTGTGAACACTGGTGTCAGGAGAAGACAATTCTATTTCCTGACAAGTCCATTCTGATTCTAACATCATTTGCAGTTCTTGCTTGCTGTGCTTGTCAAGTGTCCCACTGAACTTGTAAGGGAATTTAGCAGATGTCCTATTTCAGTTTACAGGAAACTTCTATAAGTCTCCAGCAAAAAGAACTATTTTTATATTAAAAATATTTTCAATTAAAAATGACTTGCTCTTATAATCTGTTCAACTGAATATGGGAAAGTTAATATAAAATCTAATAAAAATCTTAATGAAGCATTCTTGTTAGTCCTGCATCCATCTTAAACTCAAAAGATCTGGTCTCGGGGTGCCCGGGTGGCTCAGATGGTTAAGCGTCTGCCTTCGGCTCGGGTCATGATCCCAGGGTCCTGGGATTGAGCCCCACGTCGGGCTCCCTGCTCAGGGGGGAGCCTGCTTCTCCCTCTCCCTCTGCCATTCCCCCTGCTTGTGCTTTCTGGCTCTATCTCTCTGACAAATAAATAAGTAAAATCTTAAAAAAAAAGATCTGGTCTCAGTATTTCCTTAATAAAATAGACAGGTTGAGAGATAGTAAATAGAGGGAGAGTTTTGCCTACTTGCTCTCCGTTGTTGGGGATTGAGACTCTAAAAGTTTAGTTCAAAGACAGAATGCAAACTTTCAAATTCCTCAATTTGCTTAAGAATCAGGTATAACTAGCTCCCGGAGTAATTCTTACCTGGGGGACCAACAAGTCCTGGATCCCCCTCAGGGCCAGCTGAACCAGGTACTCCACTGGGTCCCTTCATGCCTGCAAAGAAGGTACATAAAATGGCACCGCAAAGTAACAGGGCCATAGCGTTTGCCCAGTCAAATCAGAAAATGGGTATCTTATCCCAAAGGAGTTTAATATAAAAACAACCCTTCAAATACCTGGAAATCCTGGAACACCAGGGAGACCAGGATCTCCTTTCATTCCATTGAGACCTGGTCGGCCAGGATTACCCTAAATAAATAAAATCATTAATTTTAGAAAAGAACTGAAGGGGAAGGGAGTGAAATTATACAGTATTCATATTCACTGATAGCACTTGCTCTAGAGTCAAACTTCTAGGATTCAAATCCCAATTTTGCCCCTTACTAGCTTGTGTAACCTCTAGCTGATTTTTTAACCTCTTTGATTCATAGTTTTCTCACCTCTAACATAGAGAAAATAATAGTATCTACTTCATGGTTTGTTTGTTTTTGTGAGGATTAAAGGAGATAGCTCATATTAAGTACTTAGAAAACTGACTGGCATGTAGTGTGTACTTAATAAATGGCAGCTATTATTTTATTATCATGAACAAAGGCACTTTTGTTTAAAGTGTAGCACTGAGGTGATAAATGCTTGGGTTAGAATCACATGTACAGAAATGCTAAAGTCTGCAAGACTTAGCAAAAAATATAGCAGGGCCTGTTAATTAATTGGGTTTGAGGGCCAGGAAAACTATGGGAAAAAGAAGAGTTGAGAATAAGTCTAGAATGTACCTAAAGGAAGAATAAATGTGGAACAATGAAACTTTTATCAGTAGGACTGAAAAAGGGGCAAACCTGGAACATATTCCAACATGTAAGAAATGGCTAAAAAGGAGGGCATGTTAGAAAGACAGGATCCAGCTTGAAGAAGTTTCCAAATCAATAATAATTTGAGCATCGGAATAGACGACAGTTTAAAAAATTATAAATCATTAAAAAAAGAACTTATGAGTCCATACTAATAATAACTAGATAATACATGGAAAAGAAGGGCCAACTGGTATATGTGGAGGTAGCACTAGAGTTGGAAAATCATCACTATATTCAACCACTAGATTGGTTGGTTGAGGCAAAAATCATAAATAGATATTAAATATACGGGGAAATTTTGATGAGGAGCAGTATATTTGCATGATCTTAATGTACCTTCCCATAGTTTTGCTTATTAGTTACAGGGAAAGAATAGCGACCACGCAGTGGAGAAACCAGATAACAACTTGTTGGAATGATCAAAATTAAGATCATCAGTGAGGGGCAGACAGACATTGTGGGCCCAAATATCTGATGGAGGACACAACATCACTCATGTAGTATTCCAGCTGGGGATGCATAACTAGAATGAATAAATAGCAGAAAAAAGAAGGAACATTCTGTTTTAGAAAATGGTGGACGGGGCACCTGGGTGGCTCAGTCTGTTAAGCGCCCAATTCTTGATTTTGGCTCAGGTCATGATGTCAGAGTTGTGATACGAGCCCTGTGTTGGGCTCCATGCTCAGCACAGAGTCTGCCTGGGATTCTCTCTCTCTCCCTCTCCCTCTCCCCCTCCCCCATCAAATAAATACATAAATCTTAAAAAAATAAAAATAAAATAAAAACGGGAAGGGGCTACATTTCTTCAACAGTGTCAAGATCGTGAAATTAAAAAAACATTGTTTAGCGGGGCGCCTGGGTGGCTCAGCTGCTAAGGGTCTGCCTTCAGCTCAGGTCATGATCCCGGGGTCCTGGGATCGAGACCGGCATCGGGCTCCCTGCTCGGCAGGGAAGCCTGCTTCTCCCACTCCCACTCCCCCTGCTTGTGTTCCCTCTCTCGCTGTGTCTCTCTCTGTCAAATAAACAAATAAAATCTTTAAAAAAAATAAAAAAAACATTGTTTAGCAACTGTTTCAGATTGAGGAAGCATAAAGTGATATGACAGTTAAATGCAATGCATAATTTGGTCCATACTGGAGGAAAACAATACTATCAAGGACAATTACTAGGTCAACCAACACAATAAAAATATGTAAAGTAGAAATAAAAATTTATATTAATGTTTAGTTTCCTGAAGTTGATAACTGTTCTGTTATTACATAAAAGAATATCTTTAATTTTAGGAAATCTCAGGCAGTAAAGTATTTAGTGCTAAAAAGACATGATAGTTACAACTTATTCTCAAATGTTTCAAATATATATATATATATATATATATATAATTATATACACACACATAACATATGGGGCAAAACATTAACAACTAGTCCATCTGGGTAAATGATACATGAAAGGTTTTTTTTTTACCATTCTTGGAATTTTTCTATGTTTAATGTTATTTCCATTAAAAAATTAGAAAAGGTGCAAACGTAAGAACTAACTTGCACAAAAGAAAATGAATAAAACTTGATAATACTAGATTTATAAAATGTTGCTATCAGGCAGTAGTCTTGAATCAGGCATAGAGACATATGAACTAGAAGCACCTGGGAAATGGATGAGGAGGGACTAAGTAGAGAACGAATAAAGAGAGGACTCAAAAATTAAGAGTATGTGTCTAGAATAGTGATGATATGAGGAAAAAAGGTTAGTTGTTGGAAAGCTTTAAGGACTACTGTTTTAGATGTTTTTTTTTCTTTTTTCTGCTATAAAGCAGTCATCAGAGTTAAAAGATTGAGCCCAGGTTGTGTTGGTTGTGATATCTAACAACAATCTTCCTGAATGAATGCAAGAAGTGTTAATGATCCATAAAGAAGCATGTGACTTTCTGGGTCACTCAAACCAATGTGGAAAGTACATGAATACAAATGTGGGGATATGTTATGCCCTTTTTACAGGTGAAGACAGAAACCTAAAGTGTCTGTCTGTGTTCCTCATAGACACAAAGCAGAAGTGTACAGTGGAGCTGAAATTTGACCCTAACTCTATCTAATTTCAAAGCCTAAAATATCCCCATTCAACTATAATTACTTCCTTATGAATGGTCTCATCCACATGTAATGCTCTGATATATATATCTTCTTTTATGAATTTGCTTTCACTGAAATGAAGGTTTCTCAAACCTAAATCACATACATATCAATGACTCCAGGTAAAATGTCTTCTGAGGAACCCTTTAACTATAAAGTAGCTAAGTCCCTTTAGTTGGAAGAAGATAGAAAACTTGCCTTTTTCTTCTTTTGTAATTCACCAGTAAGGCATGCATAGAGCCTTGACCAGTAAATACTAATAAAAAAAAATACAGCTTAGAATTCTCATTTTGAATGCAAACACCCACACCCCTTTCTCATCAAATTTCTACTCTCATTTCGTACCTGGAGTCCTGGTGGTCCTTGATCTCCTTTCAAACCAGGCAAACCAGGTTGCCCAGGTTGGCCTGGGTTTCCTCTCTCTCCTTTAATACCTCCATTTCCAGGGAGACCCCGGGGACCTTCTGGACCTGGTAGACCTTGACAATGCACAACAAATGGCCATATTTCAGTATAGCATAAAAGTAGTATAAAAACCTGGCTTCTAAAATATCAGTCTTCTAAATCCTATTAGTTTGCAGGATAAAATCCAGACTACGTCAAAACATACAGACCTATGCTAACTCTCTTTCTAATATAAGCTGGGCTGGGTTCTTTTTGTTATCAACACTGGTCTGCAGTCCTTTTTAGTTTGCATTTTATTAAACATTAAATCTCATAAGCTCATATTTGAAGACAGGACTCAGGACATTAAAATAGACTGCTTCTGTAATCCCTAAGTGTTTCACTTAAGTGAAAAGAAACAAACACCATACATAGGGCACTGTTCTCAAACTGAAGCATACATCAGAATCCCCTGGAGAGTTTGTTAGAACAGATTCCTGGGCTCACCCCCAGAGTTTTGGATTCAGAAAGGCAGGGGAGGGGCCCACAAATGTGCATTCTAATAAGTGCCCTCTAACTAAAGCTGCTGGTTCCAGACCACACTTTAAGAATCACTACTGTAGGGTGCCTGGGTGGCTCAGTTGGTTAAGCGACTGCCTTCGGCTCAGGTCATGATCCTGGAGTCCCTGGATCGAGTCCCGCATCAGGC